TCTGTTCTTGAAATTTGGTTTCTGATTGGTTAAAAATCAAAGATGGCGACTATTTTTTAATTGCACAAAGGGTTGTCGGATGCACGTTGGCCATTAACTAACTTACAAGGCAGGTTGGCTCGTTCTTCTTTGAGACGAATTCTGATGTAACACCTTTCTCCATGACATCGATGTGACTTAGCATGCGATAAAGCCATGGACGATGACGCATCCACTTACAGAACGTTTGAGAAAACACCAACGGGAACTATGATGATAAAGTGATGTTAAATTAAAAGTTATAACCTTGCTGATTGGACTTCCAAACAAACATATCTTAAACGTCCTGTAAATCATACGGCATAGGGTATTTTTTCACAATGGTGTCGAGAAACACGTTTCTAGGAAATTGAACCGTCTTAAATACATGCATAAGTACTTTCGGATAACAATGCGTCCGCCATCTTGAAAAGTGAGACCGTCCCACTTTTCGAATTACTAACTTATAATTCCTATAGGATTTAAAAACTTCTCAGCTAATGTCAAGTTATCATTATACGATATAATGATAAATTAATTGACTTAGCAACTACGAAATGTGTTCTAATGCACAACATAGTGATTCCGGTCTCACTTTTCAAGATGGCGGACGCATTGTTCTCCGAAAGTACTGATGTATGTATGATGCGAGAGAGCGCCAAGACGTTGTATATGATTAATTGATTAATCTCTGATAAATTTGTAATAAGGCCCTTTATTTACTTGGTGCAATGAATTCAAGATAGGTACGTTATTCCAGGTGGAATCGAAAATCGTCAATTTGTAGCTCGACTATACCTGTTCATGCAAATAAGCGTTAAAAAGGATCAAGAAGAAGTATCTTTCCAAATAGCTGATTCCTCGCTTTAAATTGTATTCTTTTGAAAATTGTCCCTGGAAAAGATGGCAATAATCAATGATAACATTAAGAAGAAGAATAACAATGTTTAGATCAAAAATAATATAAGTGTTATCACTTGTCAATGAGGAAATGGGCAGCGACGCCATTTTGTGCAAAAAGTTTATCAGTCCTAATTCTTAAGTGTTACCCTCATAAAATAAATAAATAAAGTTTTTCTTATATGGGAATTGTAGTCATAACCCTCTCTTATTTCCACTATAAGAGTTTGCCACACTTACTTGTGAGAAATCTCGCGCGCTGATTGGCGCACAAGCGCGCTATTTTGGAAAAGAAAAATGATTTTCTCTACTCTTTGGACAAAAAAATATGGAAAAAAAATTGCACACGATTTTTGCCTTATATATCATCTTATTGACACAGTCATGACGTGATAAAATCTTTAAAATTTTACAGTGAACTTGGGTTTTAAACACTTCATGACATCAAGAGTGAGTCGAGAAGGACATACAAAAACCGTGCGCAATTCCTTAAACTGATGCTGTACAAGATATTGCCGCTGCACATTGTCTATTACTGCGCTGCGACTTGAATTCGTGTATCAATTATCATGCTTGGGATGATTTCCTGTGGTAAAAAATTTACAAAATATTTTTGAAAATAAATGATGGGAATACCCGGGGAAAATGTACCTGATTATCGTCGACCTCCTGTAATTTTTTTCTGCATTCTACCATTTCCATTCGAATATTTGTCATTTCCGAACAAATATCAATTACTGAATCAACCTAAATCAAAACATACATAATTAATTTATTAATTAATCAATTAATCAATAATTGGATCAATTTTGTTCACGGATTGGTTTGCTTGTTTCTTGTTCTTTTTATTTTGTTTTGTTGTTTGCTGTTGTTTTTTCTTKTTTTGTTGTTGTTTTGTTTTGTTGTTTGCTGTTTTTTTAGGTTTTGCTTTTAATATGCGCTTTTGCTTGTTTGTTGTTGATATTTTTTTCTCTGTGTGTGTGTACTTGCTTGTTTCTTTTCAACTTTTTGTTGTTGTTTTTTTATTATTATTTGTTTGTTGTTTTTTTTTTCTTTCTATATTGCTTAGTCTCCTCTCGCAGCCGTTAGGACGTTCGTTCCCAGGTCACTCCCCCCCTAACGGCGTTAGGGGGGAGTGACCTGGGAACGAACGTCCTAACGGCTGCGAGAGGAGACTATATATTGCTTGATTCTTTAGGTTTTTTCGGGGTTTTTTTGGTCTTCCTGTGTCAGGGAAGCGCGCGAAAGGCATGTCGTGATTCAATTACGTCACAATCATTTCATTTTCAGTTTTTCCTGTCTTCCCGTCATCTTATCGAGAGGTTCAGATTTACTGCAGGTAAGAAGCTTTTATGAAACAAGCACATATTTCTTCTCCGGCACGTCACTGGAAAGGTCTTATATATAACATACTCATACTTYCTTAATATAATATTTGGTTTAAACTTCAAGATTAAACAATGTTTACTTGAGTCAAATTCAGTACTTGAGTCTCTTTTGTTTTCAGCGTTTTACTTCAAGTACCGTTAAGACCTAACGGCTTGAGGTTCATAAGCAAAAAACATGCAATTCAAAGTAAGATATTCAAAAGCGGAACTGTGGCGAAAAATGACCTCTTTCAAAAGAATTTTTTGATCACTTTTCGATATAACCAAACTTGAGCAACAATTCTACCTAGTTTAAAAGCAATCGGATCTTCGAGGAAACAAGGCTTTTATTCGGTGAAAAGGCCCATTGGCCATATTGCCACTGAATATGAAATGACAGACAGAAAGAAAGAACAGCAAAAAATGACCACAATGCAATCGACATGAGAAAGCCAAGCGTTTGAGGTCATGCTCATTTTTGAAGTTTAATTATATTCATTGATATGTCAATTATGTCTCTCGTTAGACTGATTCCATAAGTCGTAGTATTCGCTCCTCGATTTTTCCGTTTGTCTCTCAAACTAGCCGGGGGAAGAAAAAAGGAGCGACCTGACAGACTGGTGGAATCAGTCTAGTCTCTCGTATGAAGCAGTAGCGTTATTTYTATCTTGCTGCACCTCAATATTTTGGAGATGTCACTTAATCTTGTAATTAGGACAAATTAATCAATCAAAGCTTGAAAAACCGATTTGATTTGAATTCAATAGGCAATGTGCATGAACGCTATTTTAAACATCAAAGCATGATGGTAGTCACAGTCCTYGCACTTTTTTTAACCTATAAAAAGAATTCCCTAAAAGCCGCGTTTATGACTTTCCTTATAAAGAGAAAGCAAAAAACCTGCTTAGAAGGACTGTTTTAGTGGACATGAAAAAGCGCGAGGACTACAACTACCATCATGCCTATTGGAAGCACCTATAAATTCATATACGCAGCGTTAGTTACAAATACAAGCGATTAGTGGTCRTACYTCCTGCTTTATCTTGAGCCCATTTGGAAGAGATTTTACAAGTTGTTGGATCAGACGAAATTCACCTTTCTCGTAATCAGGATTACTTTCGTCCATTGGCGAGGGGTCCTGGGAACTAAAAATAACATGAGATTTGAGTTGTGAAATTATCATCATCATCATCATCATCATCCTTCGGCCAACAGACTTCCACACCGCCCTGTCAGCCATTACTGCCCTAAGATCTTGGACCCCGATTCCAGTGTCTCTGGCGATGACGTGGGGGAAGGTCACTTTTCTTGATCTGACAGGGCGGTGGTCTGGGCTCCAGAGGAGGAGGCGGGATATGGCCTCTTCATTAACTCGGGAGCAGTGCCCAGCAAAAGCGACGCTTTCAGTTTCAGTGAGACAGGTGGTAGGTTTCCATARATTTCCTCTAGGGTGGCATGAGCAGACCAATGGATRTTTTGAACCCGACGTAGGAAATTATAAAAAGATTACATCAACTAATAGAAAAATATCTAATAAAGAGCCCCTGGAATATCACATGGTTTAAAAGGGTAAACCTGCTTTGTTTACACGTAGCCGGATAGAAAACATATCATAATTTGCGTTTACACGCTAGCAATGGCCATAACCGCAACTTTTCAATAATTTAAAAAAGCTACTTGTAAACTGAGACTAAGATACTGTCAATAATCTTTAAGACAAAAAAAATTGCATATATCGTGTATCTAATATTTTGCAAGATAATTCAATATCAAGTTCCAAAATCTCATTAAAACAAAATTAAAATTCTATCTATTTATTTTTTTCCAGTGAAAATTCCTTCCAATATAGGGATTTTTGTTATAAAGTTTGATGTAATCGACTTTTTTGTTCCTTTTGTAAAAGTTAAAGTAGACATGACGCCATTTGGGAAATCATATTTCTCCGAAATTGAATATGCTGCTAAGCACCTAAGWAAAGCAAACAAATTGATTTAGTGAATTGCATCTTCCGAGTTATAGCCATTTGAAAATAAAATTGAAAAYGCCGTGACGTCAACTATGTCATGGGTYAGACTTTCTTCGTTGTTTGCGTTAACTGCTGTTTAGTTGAAGTGAAGTCATATTAAGTTGAAGATATCTGAGAACTAAAGATGCTATTTCCAACATAAGAAAAGGAATAATTTTCTTTTTCGATGGTTTTGCATATGAAATCATTCCTTGGTTGACGTCACTTAATTTCAGATGCTTTTAGATCGATTTTTTTCAAGTGCTTATCAGCAAGTTCTATTTCGGGTAAAGATATTTTTCTAAAAGGCGTCATGTGAACTCTAATGGAATGACTGCATCACGGAGCGAGATAAAAAGTGAAAAAAGTCATTAATAATGGACGCAACGAAACATTACTTACGTTCCATATCAGAAGATTATATTTGCTTAATGTGGGAGATAAAAAAATGTTTGGATTAAAAAGGAAAATTATAATTATGCTCAAATCGCATCCGTGTCAGTAAAMGCATGGCTTTGAGATTTTCACAGCTGTCCTGGAAGTGAGTTGACTGTTCTAATATAMATAATTTCAATGTCGTCAACTTCCATGGCTATAAATATCAGTCGTTTATGTTACTAGTTCACGTTCGCATCCATTCTAAACAAGTTCTATCAGTTATAACAAATTGCGCACCGCTTTGAGTTCAATGTCTTCTTATGACACGCTCTTGACGTCATAAAATGTTCAAAACTCAAGTGGATTTAGTACAAAGTTGTCAACATGTTTTTGTGTTTAGAGTGGAAGAGCAGGTATTTTCTGCACTTACTTAGCTTCAGCGGGGAAGCCACTTCGATGGCACATTATAAGACAGCCAATCACCATTCCCGTAGTTGTGCGTCCTTGCCCAACATGGCAATTGAATACCATTGCGGGGAGGGGTGCGGAGGAATTGGTATCGAAGACTTGGGGAATATCTTTGACGGCGTTGATGAACTGGTCGAAGTCTTGCTCTTCAGGAGCGTTTGTAGCAGTTATAGGAACTCGACAAAATCTACAACAGAAATTAAAACATGCAAACGTTTTTATTCACTAGACATGTTGGCGATCTAGGTCCCTCAGTAAATTGATTGCCATTTTAATTTCAAATATGAACCACAGATCAGAAGTAGATATATGTACTCTTGCCATAGATTCAATGTAGGTGTCCAGCATACAAAAGTTCCCGTGATATGAATATCGTATTTGTCCGTAATATAAAACCACAAGTAGGGAGAGCTCAGTACGAGTGGAATACTAGGGAGTTAGAGCTACAATGTGAACAAAACAGCACATAAAGGACTAAGTAATATTTATCAGGAGGATGGGGTTGAGAAATGAGCCAAAAAAGTTAATTACTACCACCCTCGATCGCAAACGAGATAAATTAGTCTCTGCCCCCCTCTCCCTCCCCCGTGAATTAATTTTATTTATTATTGGTGAATAATAAGATGTCGCAAATCGTGTCACGCTTTTCTTTAGAAGTTTTCGAATCTGGCACTGTTGATTTTTCAGTTTCCAATTAAAGTTCCAGTTAATTTTAGACGTTGCCCCCCCCCCTCCTCAAGCACATCACATTAGATGTTCCCCCCTCTCTGGATTTTCAAACCAGCCTCGGTTGTAGAACAGTTGTTTCTGTTCGAATGCCGCGAGGACACTGAGGAGATCCCATATCAACTCCCGCCCAAACAAGCCAAAAAACTGAATTATTCAGAACTGGAACAGCTTCGTGTGGACGGGACCTAAKTCATATATGTACCTCAAGAAAGGCGTCATGAATATCTGTCGACTGTAAATCTCATCCATCACACACACGTCTTCTTCGTAAGATATGTTGTACGCATGTGGCTCGTTGTCAAAGTTTTCCACGTTGTTGTAGAAATAAAATTTTCCGCCCTCCTCAATGGAAAGTTTGATTATCTGGAAAAAGACAGTCCCATAACATCACCTTGAATAAACGAATTTTCTTATGCTAGTGAAACGAGGCAGGATTATTGATCAAGTTGGGTCTAAAATGATCTTGGTTATGTATGATAATGATGGCGATTATATCGATGATGGTGATGGAAATGGTGAAAATGGTGATATCGAAAACTTAGTTCCAAGGCCCTCGTCCCATCGTTTAGTGATTCCAAAGGAAGGAATAAGGGTCTGGGAACGAGGCTTGGAYGACGATAAAAATGGTAATGATGACTGTAGTCATAGCAACTGGCACCATTTGCTTTTAATGAGAGCCAGCTGTGTGATTTCCCACGTGAATTTTTGGCGGCCATGTTTGTCGGTGTGATATAACAGAATGACGTACAATCATACAAATTTTTGTGAGTCCTTGCGAAATTTAARAATCGCGAAAACTATGATTTTACGCGAAAATAGCGTTACAATTTAAGGCGTTTCTTAAATGCTGCAAAATTAATACCCGAGAAATATGCCTGTTCCGACAATTTCAAGAAATGATCTTTAGTGACCACAAAAAAATTTCTAGGGARTAAGGTAGTTCGAGTGCAAACGCTAAATTATAGTTATTCCTCTGTTTTCTATTTTAAACAATAGAGTAGTTGAATCGAGGGCATTACGCTGYGATAGTTGATCGCGTTAACTGGATGACCTGRAAAGCAAATAGTTGACCGTGAAAGACGTTCGAGGGCGACTATTTACTTTGCTGAACATCCAATTTCCAAGGGCAACTATCACAGAATAACGCCCGAGATTTCAACTGCTCTATTGTTTTTTCATTATTCAACAACAAAAGATTCTGAAGCGGTGGGCTCTATCAACTGATAATAGCCCTCCGTGGCTAATATACACAATACTGCTCTACTAAGCGCTATTTGCTTATTAGTACCCTTTCAGGATTCTTTTAGTGTTTGCACTCTACAAATTATTAAAGTATTATGATAATGATGGCGTTGATGCCCATGATAACGATGATTACGGTAAAGATTWATTTTTTTTAAAGTAATGACATAGCGCATAATAATAACCATCATTCCTCCTTTACAGTAATTACAAAATAGGAATAGAAATGTGAGAAAAATCATGTTTTATCCTCCGGCGCACTGCCGCTTTTTAATTACCTCTTCTCTTATTTTGATTTCAGTGTCCGCCAACTCTTCTGGTTTGACACCAAGGTTTGCTATATTTCCTTTCAGACTTCCTGGGTCACGTGGTGAATACGGAACGTAGTCGTGGTTTAGACTTAGGAATATTACTGGTTCTTCTCGTAGATTGAAGGACACTACTTCCTGTGATTGTAAAAATAACAGTAAGCTTACATGAGAGATTTTCAGATATCGTTCCACTCTTTGCATTACAATGTGTGAGTGTCTGTCATTTGCGTTCCACTCTTTGCATTACAATGTGTGAGTGTCTGTCATTTGCGGTAATTAAGGGACTTATTGCGCCACGAAAATGTAAAAACACACAAAAAAAAACACGAAAAGAAACGATACTACTTTAAAATTTAAAGGGCATATCGCCATTCAAATAAATCATCTTTCTATTTTACACTTAAATGTGTGCTTTGCATGTTGAGCAAATCGATAAACATCTGGACAAAAAAAATTATCTTTTTCATATATTTTTGCATTTTCCTCCATAAATAATACTATCTCTGTTCATAGCCCTGAGGACTTTGAATGGAGGCTTGGCAATACATTCTTGATTTTAATATATAGTTCCAGTTTCTTTTMGTAAATAAAGGAGTAGGAGCAGTTGCCAATTTTATCATTCAGCCAAATCATTCTAACAGTAAAAAATTATACGAGTCACATCCCTTCGGTTATACATACTCTCATTTATAAAAAAAACATAATTCATGTTGTGTTCCGGGTTTACTTTTGGAGGTTGAAGCGAATTTAACTTTTTTCATTGTTTCATTATAYGAGTTGCAGTATTTTTTTGTGTCGATGAAGTACATTTTCATTCAAAAGTTTTGCAGGTATCTTCTGTAATTTTTCCTTTTACGAAACCGCGTATTCACAATTCCATACTGATTATATTCTCTTTTTAATATTCCGTATTCCATAACCTTTTTTCCTCAAATATTCARTTTGTCGCTGACAATATTTTTCCCGGTATTCCAAGTTCAACCAACAAGTCTAATTGTCTATCTCAAGGGTTTTCAACCACTTGGAATTTAAAAACTTATAGCCGTCTTTCATGCGGCGAATGTAATTCGCTCCAATTTTAATGTTTCTGCTTTGTTGTCGTGGTACGTGAGATTTGATTTTTKAAACGGGCCTTCAGTCGTATGTTTACACAGCTAATATGAACTAAGAATCAATGACAAGCATTTCTATGTCAAGACTTATTTGTAGTATCKCCAAGCAGCTGCATGTTTTCAGCGTTGAAAAAGATCGAATCTTATTATTGGATATATACAATGAAAATAAATTGCTCCGGGCACAGCACCCGGAAGAGTAAGGTGGGAAAAAGAAGGTTTTAGAACCGTCCTTGAAACTCCACGCACCTCGGACCAACAGGAACAAATACAAAACAATTTGCATCAAATTACGAAATAAATCTTACTTTTTTATTAAAGAAATCTATCAATTCCCTTTTTCACTTTTTCTTTATTTCGTAGCATATTATATTGAAAGCCATAAAAATAACTATTTAACAATAAATTGCAAATAATGCAGCCCCAAAACTGTACTTTTTGCCACTGGATGTAGAATTCCGTGTTCGTATTGGAACAATTCACGCAATTAGTAGYTATATTCGTTTCCTAGATTCAAAGATTAAAGGATTATCTTTGGAAGATTTATCTAAGTACAAAGTAATAAGAGGTTGATAGATCACTGAATATGTTTAATGGAATTAAAACCACAAATGATTGATGAGTAATCTTCTAAATCATAAAGCATTCAGGCAAAATGTAGATAGGGGTGGGAACTAGTTCTGTGCAAAAAAATKGTAGTTTTTAAATTTCAATTTGTTTTCTAGAAATTTTAATTAAAAGTAATTTATCCTATTTTCAGTTTCATTCTGTATTTCATTCGATTCTAATCATTTCCATTATGCTCTTTCTATTTCATTCATGTCATTTAAGAATAACCCTTCATTTAAGAATAACCCTTGTCAGGCACTTCATCACATCATCTCGAACACATCTCATTTCCTATTACATCATATCAGTTACTTTCATGTTTCTTTCCTTCTTACATTTTGTAATTATGAGATAACAATAGAGATAAATCAATCAAGGAATAATGTCAATATTTGTTTTATAAGTAAATTTTTTCTTATTTTATTTTGATTTAGTCATTTATTTATCTTTTACACTTGTGAAAAAAGAAAAAATATTGTGACTTTTTTACAATGTATCCCAGTGAAAGAATTTTTTGTCATTCATCAACTGGGTATTACAATTTCCATGTCGAAGGCTACTAAATATATTAGTGACCACGCTCATCATGATTTCAACAATCTTTTTTTTATATATATGTCAGCTATTTAATATACAGTATACATTTTTCATATAATTATCTATAAAAAAACTATATTTCTCCATTTCGTAAAATTGATATTTTCATTAGTGAAAATAACAAATTTGAGGTTTCTCTACATAATGCAAGTAAGAAAAAAGGTATTTTACGACATAATTTGSTTTCATATAAAATTATATGATAAATAGAATATTAMATGTTTGCTTTGAGCGCCCATGTAATATCTTCTATATTTTACTTGTTTTGATTGCACTTCTTTGATCATTTTTCAGAAACATATGGTTTTTGCTGTCATTAACTTTTTAAGTTTCACTATTAATAACACATTTAACATGTTGTTTAAATTTATCAGAAAAAAGTAGGAAATTAATTTAGGAGTAATTATTTTAACCTGCTCTTAGCTGATTTTGGAGAGACCTTTTATTTCCAATTTTTGTCATGAAAACAATGTTGCGAATTCCACTCTGATGTTATATAACAACACAGTACAATATTGTTTAATATTTTAGGTTTATGGAATTTATGAAATTACCATTGCAACTATTGTTCACTRAGTTTATTATTGCCGATGAGTCAAAAAAACAATATCATAGCAATTGTTAATGAATTAATATAAAAATTTCAAATATTTTCTAATTAATTGTAGACAAATAGATTGTTTGTGGTATTTTATGTTTTGGTTTGGTTTTGTTGTTTGCTGGGTTTTTCTGTTCTTGTTTCTGCAGTGCTTTTGTTTCTTTTTTTTATTATTTTTTTGGAGAGGTTGAATAAATATACAATATGCATTCATAATAAGCAAGAAGATGTAATATTAAATAGATACAGACCTAATTTTTTTTTCTGACAAATAATCGAAATATCSCAAGATAGTGTAATGCTTAAATATATTAAGGACAGCAGCACAAAAAATATCATGAATATCATAAAAGTTGATGTATGTAAAATATATTTAATTAAAAAGATCAAGACTTATGACAAGCTCCACAATATACACAATTACAAAAGCTACATGCAAAATTTTGTATCTGTCTCATCATAACTTGTAGAGAATTTAATGAAGCTTTTCTATCGCAACTGAAAGCCTTACGAACGGCATGAGTTCTAGACTATTATGTTCAATTGTTCTAAGGACATGAATTATATGATCTACTATTCGATTGCTATTTTCACACAATGACAAACATAGAAGATTTCCCCAATCAGTTATTCTAACCAAAGTTGATATAGATATAAAATATATAGCATTCCATATCAAATACAGGAAAATCCCAAATGTTTCAATCCAYCGTAAACAAGAATAAATCCTCGTTTCTCAAGCTCTTACGGATGTATAAATCGTCCATAATCTAAACTTTATCCTACATAACCCATGCGAGTATTGTCACTTTAAATTATTCGCGAAAATCTGTGAAATGACAATAATAASGAAGGCTTACCCTATGTCCATTCTCGATCAGTGTTTCTATAACCAAAGCAAGTCCATCTTTAGACGGCTGACCCATTCCATAAACCGGATATAATCCACCAGCAGCCTTTCGAAAATTTGGCGCACCACACGACTGGAGCGTATTCAAGCGATCAACTCCATCGAAGTGATCTTTAATAAGGAAATATTTGTCCTGAATAAGTCCGTGTTCTGGGAAACCAGTTTTGATTTTGCCACGCTTTCGCACCAGTGGCGTGTTCGTGGGAGCATAGCTGAGTACGATGAAGCCATTTGACTGTTTCTTCGGGGCTGAGGATGCTTTTCTAGCTCTTTGTATGCTTGTGTTCGAATGAATCGGCGTCGTTGGTGGGTTCTGATTCAAACTTGGACTAGAACCTGGCGGAGAGCTGACAGAGCTAGCAGCTGAGCCCATATCAAAGCATCGAAAAGCACCTAAGAATGGCAAACGAGTTGAGTTAAAAACATGCGATCGTTATTCGTTGCTTCCATGTCAACATAAATAAACAACTCCACTAACTTTTTCTCATCTCTTCTGCCTCAATGCTATCGTGTGTGTTACTCGAGATACTGTCATAAAATGACAGATTATCAGCCAATCAGCATGAGTTTCTAGTAAATCATCAGCCAATGGGAGCTTAATATAAGCGAATCGTCTTTTGCAGGTGTTTTGGGGATCGCTAGATGTTCSTCATTCAATAAGCTAACAAAAATACGAAATATTAAGGCATTAATTGCCTTACAGTAATAAAAAGTTTAAATACGCCAACCTCGACTCTATTCTTTATTTCATGTTGTCCTTTAGGTGACKAAAATATATCTGAGCAGACGTTGAACATTTTTCAAGATAATTATAACGGAAAGTAATTTCCTAAAATAAATAAAAACCTTTAAATTTCGCTTTTTGAAGGCTTTTTTATTTGAAACACTTTCDACATATATTTCCGTACATCTATTCGCCAATCTTGTGTTCTGAATATTGACGCCGTCCGTTGTCGTGGGAACACACTAATCAAAAATACAACTTCCTCCTAATTTGTCCACCTGGATAATTGTTCAAATGGTTATATCACAGTAAGATATCATTCAGCCGAAACCATTAATGTTTCTTTAAAGAATAGCCGCTGAGATAAGGTAACGTAGACAAGTATTAAAAAATGCTGTGATAATCGTACCCTAACCTGTGACACGGATAGCTGGCTACAGATGCCCAGTATTTATCCACACCAAGTGATTTTATAAAGACAGATGTACATCTATCTTGTATGATATTAAAAATATCACGAAAACAAAATTTAAATAAACAAGAAAAATACTCTTCACTTATATCAAGAATAGGAATGGGTAAAACAAAAAGATTCAGCTCAGGTTTCAGCTCATTTGACACAATATCACCATGTAAGTTGTACAGCGTTTTGCAAAAATTATGTAGAAGACATATCAATTCCATTAACTTTGCCCAGTTGTAAAGACAGATAACAACAACGAATATATTATTTTTATAACGGAATATTCAACATCATGTCGCAAAACTCCTTTGATTTGTTATCATTTTGAGTTTTACCTTGGAAATCCTATGCCAGAAAATTTTAAAAACATTTTTATGCAAATGACACTAAATGGMGTTGTGGGAACGGTTTTTAGACATGGGATTGCATTTTCTATTAAAACGGYTGTTGTAAGGGGGTATAAAATTTACCAAAAACCATGGTGAGAATGCGTCTTTTATAAGTATTTTTGTTTAAATAACATCTAAATAACTAATCAGGAAAAAAATATCTCGCGATKTTTACTTCACAAAAKAGAGATTTTAAGCAATTTAAAGTTCGGCGTGAAAATTGCCTTCAACGAACCCGATATATGTTTACATAGTATTGTTAAAATTCTCAAAATTTTAACAAATGCTGCATGTAATAATCATAACACTACAGCAATATAGATTCACTAACTTGTGACTTACCCGATTTATKTTGAACGTCTCAGGCAGTTCCTCAACAAACAGAGTGTAAACATACCCGAATGATATTCTCATTTATTGGAACAAAAAAAATCGTTTTTTAAGTCTATTGTCATTAAACGTTTCCGTAATGCACCGGGATACGTTTCGAAAGAGTTTATATGTTATAAAAGAAGCCGAAACATACAGATCAGTTGGGAGGCGTGTTTTATAAATGTTTTTGAACTTAATCGCGASACGAATGTCATATAATGACTTTAACGATGTTTAATATAAATATGAACTGCCATGGTTTGTACATGCGATATGCGTTCAATCTAACTATCTAAATTACCTATCAATTATTCTTAAATGAATAGCGTTTAATGCTGTCGACAGACTGTCTGTCGTTTTTAAAGCTTTCACTTCACAACGCGATTTCTAAAGAACCAGAATCACTTCATTTGGTTGACTGAAATCGCCGACGCTATTTTGAACGATGTCGTCGTCATGCTACCACAATGCTTTGCGCACTATGTGTAGTAATTTAATTATTTACTCTCTACCTGCCTCTATTAGAAATATTACTGACATTAACTCTTCTAAAATCTTCCTTAAAACTTATTTTTTCAAACTTGCCTTTAATTTGTAAATTTTATTTATAACAATAATAATTATATAATTGTAATTTTTTATTTGTATTTTTTTTTCTCAGCGCTTAGATCTGAGCTGTATAAGCGCTTTAAAAATTAATATTATTATTATTATTATTGTTATTACAACTAACACCAGCAAGTTGATGGATACGACTGAATAAAACAACATCCGAAGAAAAATATACAAATCTTATCAAAAATGAAAAAGACTATAGAAAACTATTAAATGTTCTTCGCAGTGAAATGAAAATACGAAGAGCGTTCTGGTTATTATAATGASGTGACGCCATGGTATATTAGGGTAAACTCAAAATTGTTGGCTTTAAAAATTGCTCAGGATTCTCCAATTGGCTTCATTTCATAAATGAACCTAATTCAGACCGGAGATTTTTCATTAAGTTCTGAGAACGACTGGCTGTACGATCGAGTTCAAGTGACACGACGCCGTTTTCGCTTTATATTATTTTCTCATCCGTTCTTTTTTTTTTAAATATTCTCTTACGAAGCGAATGCCCACTTTTAAAGCTTCAAGCTTACCTTCTCTCTATTGAATAAATACGAGACATTTGACTGCGTGTTAATTACGATCAAATATTCAACATCGGCACACAAGTTACCTAGCCTCCGGCTGCGARGTAATTTCATTTAATGAAACCTATCTATCTATCCTATCCTATCCTAACCCTCTTTACGCATATAAAGCACACGAGATCACGTAAACGTTGCGAGCATAATGGAGATTTACGCATTCTTTCAGAACAAAGAAGAATTGGTAAMAGAACTATTTACCGTAAGATACGCATGCGTGATTCCGCAATCTTTACGGATTGCTTAGTATGTGTGACAGAGTTCGCTGAGACTTACGGATAGTGCAAAAAGGCGCCCAGGCTCTGCATTTGTATTGCTTTCACGGCGGAGCCAATGCATTGCTTGGTGTGCCGTTCGAGCCCTAGATGAAGCCGTAAATTTTTTCTCCTTCAATTTTTGAGATTTTTCAAGACTTTCTCTTTTTTTCTTTTTTCTTTGATAAGTTTAAACATTTTTATGAAGAACGATTGATTTTTAAAGCCATTTTTATATCTTTCCCCCCACGTAAATATATATTTTTTTAATCATGTTTAGTCGTACTTTTAATTGTAATTAAGCTTTCCAGTGTTATCAATATGAAGTGAGAACTAGATGAGATTGTCATCTCATCGGTTAAAATTTTTCTGCAGACATTTCCTTTTTGAATTCATTAGAAAGTGTACTTTCTGGAGAGGTTGCCACAGCAACCATAGTTTCGGGTATATAGCTATGCCGAACAAGAGGGTCTCAATGGGGTTAACCGTGAGCCGTGAAACTGCTGAAAAATTAGCCGTGAGTCGTGAAAATGCGAAAAAATTAGCCGTGAGGCGTGAATATTTTTTTATAGCGTGAGCCGTGATTCAGTTTTGTCCCTCAGAAGGACAGTCAACTCCGATGTAAATTTTAAAAAAATAAAAGCTTTAGTGGAGATWTTTCAAAATTTTTCCTTGCAAGAATATTTTTTCGGCCCCTCGGTYCATTCAGGAATTGTTTTCCCTAAATCTTTYATTCTTCCACCCCCACCCCCTCACAATTCTACTGGATCGCACCTACCAACAAGSCAGTAATTGCAAGGTCCTGCAGACAAGTCAGGGCACGGACAAAATTAGTGTGAGTGTGATGATAAAAAGTTATAATACTAACTAAGTGTCTATATATAAAGTACAAGGGGAAACTGTGCTACCACACTCACGATCTCTAGCACAAAACAAATTATCAAAAAGTAATGAAAAACGTATTTCAAAAATTTCTGAAAGTTATGTAGTTAACCGTGATTCGAGGCGTGAGTCGTGAAATCGCCAAATTTTTAGTAGTGATGCGTACCACCCCGTTGAGACCCTCCTAAATGAGCGGTACAAATGTACAGACAAAATCTCCAAAACAATTAGTATGTTAGTACATCGAAGACTTTGAGTGGGAGCCGATCATAAAGCCACTTCGTAAAAAAAAGTCGGTTCTCAGGAAAGTGCCAAACACAAGAGATGACTAATTCTGCAAAAAAAATAAATAAATAAAAAAAGGAGATAAACAATAAATAWAATAAAAATGAAAATAYACAATCAGTAAACGTCTSGTCAAGGGAATCGATCCCGCTACCGTCAAACCTACAYTRGATTTGCAAGCAGCGCCTTAACGCGGTGCGCCACTGGACCACKCTCATTTACATAATAATAGACCACTTGGCACTTTCACCGAATAGACTACCCCAATTTGACATTATACTTTCGATAGTTGCCTAGTTAGTGCAAGGGGTTATCCATCAGTGTCTAGGGGCCGGATAGCTTCTCCCTCACTGGCTTTTTAGTTAGCGCGAAGTTAGGACCAATTATCGGGATAGCATGGAAGAGCCGAAATCTCTAACCGGAATGTAAATCGATTCGCCGCCTCAGCTTCACAGAATGTCTCGGGGGAATCGTCCCAACCTTTTTTCGATTTTATGGTCATGGGTTCGAATYCCACCACTCAAGTTTTTCTTTTTCTCTTTTTCTTTTTTCATATTTCTTTTTTTTCTTTTTGTTGTTGTCTTTGATTAGCTTAATTCCTACATTAATGATTGTTTGCAATATCTCCAGAATCATTTAGTAATTATTTAGTAATTATTTCTATATATTTCTATAATGTGATATTTTAAAGCGCGCTTTCATTGGCTTTTCTTCATTAAACGCCAGGTTTTCACAGCGCGGCGATTTCGCAACCGACAATCAATTTTTAAACAGAGTGGCCGAGTTATGTTTTCTATTCGTACGGACATTGTATATATTCTGAAATTTTCTGTAATTAGATAAGATATCGATTTTAAAATACTATAATTAGCTATAAAAGGTTTTTTCGTTCTTACATGTTCTTAGATAGTATTTTTGGGATTTGTTTTATACATTTTAAAACTCCCACTCATTTAGTGCCTGCGTCACGCTAAGTGTGACAAGAAACTAAATCTGCTCGATTTTAAAATACTATAATTTTGTTTAGAGTCAAATAATAATATGAATACGCTGCAAACTTCCTGATTTTACCATGCACATTTAGCCCGGCATAGAATACATCATCGCGAAAAGCGAATTATGAAATTTCGTAAACTCCGATGTTAGACACGGAATGCARCAATGTCACTACTATGTTCTCAATACCTGCTAACACTTTTTGGATTTTTCYTKTRTATGAATTTATGATTAATCATGCATTTTTTCGTGGAAATAGTCGCATTTCGGCTTATTTGAAAGAGAAAATCCATGTCCCCACGAATAAGTCACGCAGTCTATTCATAYGAAAAAAAGAARAAGTAATGCAAACGTAATTCAAAAAWTTCTTAATCTAGTTAACCGTGATTCGAAAATATTAGTCGTGAGTCGTGAAATCGCCAAATYTTTAGCCGTGAGTCGTGATGCGTACCACCCCATTGAGACCCTCGAACAAATGCCTCACTATTACGGKCTTTGACCGCAAYCTTAATTTCATAATAATGTTTTAATCATCATTTATCAAATCTGTCAATTAAYCATTTTACGAAATTTGTACGCAACACTTTCATTTTAATCAATAGCCGGGAATTATGCTCAGTTACACGAGCAGGCTTGATTTCATCAGCATCTCTTCCAACCATTCATGCTCAATATTTGCGATCATCTAAAGTTGAAAAAAAGTTTCCTTCTCCTTTTCTCAGCGCTCAGGTATGCATCAATTGTACCTCATTTATCAAATTGCATACAGGTATATATTTCGTGTTTTTTTCAGTTTTCAGTGTTTTTTTGTGTTTGTTTTTTCTTTGTTTTTTTTCTTTGTTTTTTTGTGTGTGTTTGTTTGTTTGTTGTTGTTGTTTTTTTCAGTAGATTATTACTTGCAGTCAACCAGTATCGGTCATCTAATAACGTCTKCAAAGGAGRATATTCAGCAACGAAATCAGTTCTGTTTTGATTAAAAGATAGTTCACTTCTCTCGTTGATAATGATATTTATGTAAACCAACTGAAAGGTTCTCAAATAGTCTTTTCCAGTCTTTGTAATCTTTATCTGTTGTTTGTTTGTGTATCTTGTATTGTGTCCCATATTCAATGTAATTACCTATATATCATATGACAACTTCAAGAGGAGCTAGAATTATCCTTTATGATCTCGCATCGTACGTCGGCTATCGAAAGCCTCAGGGCACATTGTAGTTCCTCTCTTGATAATGGTTTGACCATAATCATATGTTCAATAGATTTATGATTTAGCGGGTAAAGTGTCAACAACAAGACAATATAGGGCAATCTACACGTATTATACCTCTCGCTTTAGTCAAACTCATGATTTAGTTTTACTGTTGTCTTTTCAGAAGAACAAAGGTACCTTTATATTTTACTATTAGTGTCAAAACAAATKTTTTCTTTTCCAATTATTGTATTATTGTATTGTTATATATTGTAGAGAGTTTCAATAAAGTTATTTTATTTTATTTTATTTTATTTTATTTTATTTTATTTTATTTTATTTTATTTTATTTTATTTTATTTTATT